CATTCCAAACACACACTGATTTCTCTCTCCTCTCCTTCTGATTCCTCTATAAGTCACTGATACATAAACTCCTCCTCTCCACTCGACCTCCCAGTAACAGTGACCAGTCAGACCATTTCTACACAGCAGCTGTTCCCAGAAGTTAAATCTCTCTGGATGATCAGGATATGGCTGCTCCTCTCTCACCACTGTCACCATCCTGTTGTTGTCAGACAGTTTGAGGAATCTGTATGCTGTGTTTGTGTCCAGTGTGAGTTCACAGATATCTGATGGAGAGAACGAGACACAACACAGCAGCAGTTTATCAGACACATCTGAAGGTTATCTTCTGTGTTTGTGTGCTGATGTTGTTCATTTCTATAAAGTTGAATGAGTAAAGAGTAGCGTTTTTCCTTTTCTTAAGCACACCTACTCACCTAAAGCTGCTGGCTACAACTACACTTGGGCCATGTGCTACCATACTATTCCTCTGGTTTCCAGTTCACTCAAGAGGTACAGTGCCATTAGGCACAGACATAAGGCAAACCTCAAGCCTTGAGGGGGGGTGAAAGAGTAATTGTAATTGAAACCAAGGACCAATGTGAAACCAAGGCCCAAGGTGAAACCAAGGACTACAAACACCAAGGCTAATGTGTAACATTTGTTCCTCTGCCCTCCCAAGACAATGGCACTTCACTCTCCTCGTTTACTCCTCTCACAGAGAACAAAGTATCAGAACTCCTGACCCATAGCTGTCCCACTACATGCCCACTGGACCCAATTCCTTAAAATCTCCTCCAAGCCATATCTCCTACTGTGGTCCCGGCAATCACTCATGTAATAAATACTTCTCTGGTTCAGGGACCTTCCCGGCCACTTTCAAAAGGGCTCGGGTTACACCCTTGATTAAAAAGCCCTCACTTGACCCAACTCAAGTTGAGAACTATCGGCCAGTTTCTCTTCTACCATTTTTATCTGAAACTATTGAACGGGCAGTCCTCAAACAGGTCTCAGAATTCCTCTCACGGAAAGACCTCCTGGATCCATATCAGTCTGCTTTTAAGAGTGCCCACTCTACTGAAACTGCTCTTTTGTCTGTAACAGAAGCCCTAAGGTCAGCTAAAGCTGCAGCCCAATCCTCGGTTCTTATCCTGCTTGACCTATCAGCTGCCTTTGACACAGTCAACCACAGGATCCTGCTATCTGCTCTCTCAGCAATGGGCATCTCAGGTAAAGCACTCCTGTGCTTTGAATTCTATCTCTCTGGGCGTTTCTACAATGTTTTGTGGCAAGGACAATTAACCTCCTCCCACTGCCTCTCCACAGGGAGGCCCCAAGGCTCAGTGCTTGGGCCCCTTCTCAATTTACACCACCTCACTGGGGCCGATCATTCGCTCGCACGGCTCCTCTTACCACTGCTACGCAGACGATAAGCAAATCTACCTATCCTTCCCGCCAGACAGCTGTTCTCATCTGTGACACCACAATGGTGGAATGAGCTACCACACGCCATCAGAACAGGGAATTCACTCTCTAATTTCAAGAAGTTCTTGAAAACTCATCTCTTCCAAGAACACTTCCTCTTATAACACCTCTAACTCCTAACATCTAACATGCACTTCCTGTGGTCTTCTATCCCCTACAGTAACCTTTTTTTGATTGCACTTTTTTGTTGACTCTAACTTCTTTTCCTAGGTATTTACTCCATTGATGTGATATGTGCCACTAGCACTTACTAGCATTTATTGCTGCTTTTATTAATATGTATTGTCAGTTTTAGATCTTGTGCTGTATTTTATGCTCTGTTAATGATCGTAGGTTGTTCCTCAAATGTAAGTCGCTTTGGAGAAAAGTGTCTGCCAAATGAGTAAATGTGTGTGTGTGTGTGTTGTCCTCATGAGTCAGATTGAATCCACACTTACACTTCCTCAGACCAGGTTTTAACCTCTGCTCTCCACCATGGTCCACCCTGGAGGAAGAAACACAGTCAGAGTGATTTTCTATCCAACCTGAGTCCTAACTGCTGTTCAACATGAAGCAGTGTTCCTCAGTTTGCCATTGTGACAGAGAATCAGGCTGAATCAACTGTCTCCAGGATTCTTTCGCTGTCAAGAAGAAGAAGAAAACAATCTCTGCTGATCTGCTCTCGTTTTTATTGATGTTCTCCCACATGATAAAACAGAACGTGAAATGTTGTCCTCTGTATGTTTGACCAGCAGCAGCGTTTATGTTTGAAACTGGTCTAAGGACAGATTGCCATATGATGTACAGATTGTAAAGCCTTTTGAGACAAATTTGTGATTTTTGAGTTGATAAATCTGACTTCAAAAAAGCACCTAGAAGGCGATTCTCTTAGGTGTAGGTTTTAGTGATATCTAGCTGTGAGGTTGCCAGTTGCAAACAACCATCTCATCCTCCCTGCCAGTGGCTACACCTTTTGGTTTTCGTTACGTTTGTTTTATTTGAACACCACAACACTCTACACTACAATCACTCATCCACACTGACACTACCGATGTTGCTGACAAACCCATCCCATAATTTAAGCATTATTTTGGTTATCTTATGTTGCAATAAACCTTGTTAATTGAATCGCTGCATCTTTTTCCACTTTTTGTCATGGCCTTTGAGCCTGGTCATGACATAATCATTTAGGTTTATGCCATATACTGGTTAAGTCAAGTCAAGTTTTATTTAAAATGCAAAATCACCAAAAGACATGGTCCCAATACACTTTGTAATGCATTAAAATAAACCATAAAGTACAGAATGCGTGTAATAAAACACAAAATAACACACATTCAGAATAAAATCCCCAAAATAAAATGATAAATGATTTAATAATTTAAAGTTTGCTCAGTCTTGTCCTAACTAAAATCTTTATTAAACAGAAAAGTCTTAAGTTTAGCCTTAAAAGTGGTGAGTAGTAGAGAGGCTTGATAACTAAATTCTCTTTGTCCCATTCTAACCTTAGTTACATTAGGCACCACAAGCAGCCCTGCATTTTGAGAGAGCAGTGCTCTATTAGGGCAGTAAGGTATCAGGAGTTCTTTGAGGTACAACGGTACCTGTCCATTTAAGGCTTTGTAGGTAAGTAGAACAATTTTAAAATATATTCTATATTTCACAGGGAGCCAGTGTAGGGAGACTAGAACAGGAGAAATATGCTCTCTAATCTTGACTCTAGACAGAACACGCGCTGCTGCATTCTGGATCAGCTGCAGAGGCTTCAGAGAGTTGATTGTGCTGACTGCTAGTAAAGAATTGCGATAGTCAAGCCTGGAAGTAATGAATGCATGGATCAGTTTTCCTGCAGTGTTTTGGGACAGGATGTTCCTGATTTTAGCAATGATACATAAATGAAAGTAGGCAGTTCTTGAAATGTGCATAACATACAGGTTGAGGGACATCCTTTGGCATGAGAGACCCGGGTTCAACTCCCAACTGTGACACATCCACCAATGTGTCCCTGAGCAAGACACTTAATCCCAATTTGCTCTAGAGGCATGTGACCTCTGACATATATAACAATTGTACGTCGCTTTGGATAAAAGTGTCAGCTAACTGGATAAATGTAATGTATAGATCTCAAAGGTGTTTGGGCCCAAGTAAAATAACTTCAGTTTTGACTGAGTTCAGCATAAGGAATTTACAGGTCATCCAGGCTTTGAAATCTTGTATGCACACTTGACGTTTGGCTAACTGATTTAAATCATCCGGCCTGATCGCTAGATATAGCTGAGTATCATCAGCATAGCAATGAAAGTTAATGGCATCGTTCCATATAATTCTACCGAGAGGAAGCATATATGGAGTAAAAAGGATTGGTCTGAGCACCAAACCTTGTGGTTCTCCATGATTAACTCTGGTATGCATGGAGGAATCATTATTCACATATACAAATTGGGACCGATCTAACAAACAGGACTTAAACCAACTGAGGGCCGATCCTCTAAAATTTTCCAGTCTAGTCTGTAGAAGTACAGTATATGGTGGTCGATGGTATTGAAAGCAGCGCTCAGATCTAGCAAGACAAGTACAGAAACAAGTCCATTGTCAGATAATCCATTGGTGCAATTAGTGTGTCATTTGTAATTTTCACCAGTGCTGTCTCAGTGCCATGATGTCTTCTAAACCCTGACTGAAAAACCTGAAATTTGACCTCCACCACTGGCTCCGTTTTTATTGGGGTTTTTTTTTAACCTAAAATTGGCCCGATAAGCCTTCATATATTTATAATAACAATAATTCTGATACGATAATGGCGCTAGAAGAAAATTCAGAGAATCACTAATGTTATTATAATTCATCCTGGGGTAAACATGAAGGTCTGAACAACATTTCATAATAATGCATCCAACGGTTGAAATATTTCAGTGAAAGCCAATGAATGAATCTGCTATGGACCATGAAAGTTTGAACAAGATTAAATCGCAACACATTGAGTAGTTGTTGAGATTTTTCAGTCTATAATAAAGTGGAGGAGAGACCGACATTTTGACGCAAAAATCAAGAATGATTTAATGAAAAGAATTATATTTCTATAAGACTTCTGGACATCCACTTGTTTCCAGTATAAGGCCTTCTCACTCCCCTGAACAGGATTAAGAGAAATAAGAAATCCTTCATTATGATGAACCAGAGCGGAAGGACATGAAATTAGAGAAATTTTTGTGAGCTCTTGTTGTCTATCCAAACCTGAGAGTTTCCAGTCTCCAGTGTGGATTATCCAGTCCAGCAGAAAGCAGTGACACTCCTGACTCTCCGGGATGATTGTAGCTCAGATCCAGCTCTCTCAGATGCGAGGGGTTGGAGCTCAGAGCTGAGGCCAGAGATGCACAGCCTTCCTCTGTGATCAGACAAGCTGACAACCTGGAATTTGGAAAATATTGTAAACTCAGTGTTTTAGAAAATCATGTCAGCAGGAAAATCCTTCAGATGTTGACCATCTTCACTAACATGACCGTAAAGCAAGATAAATAGCTGATGTTTTAAATCTTGCTTAACAGCTTAATTCTGACCTGAGAGTTTCCAGTGTACAATGTGGCCTTTCCAGTCCAGCAGACAGCAGTTTCACTCCTGAATCCTGCAGGTCGTTGTTACTCAGGTCCAGCTCTCCGAGACTAGAGGCCTGGCAGCTGAGAACTGAGGACAGAGCTTCACAGGTTCTCTCTGACAGATTACAGCCACTCAGTCTTAAAGAAATGTACACATTTGACAACATTACTCATAATATTGAATGTGATCAAAAGTCATTTTATCAATTACATTTACTCATTTGGCACACTTTTATCAAAAGCGACATACATTTGAGGAACAACATAAAAGCATCAACAAAGCATCAAATACAGCACGAGATCTATAACTGACAATAAATACCAGTAAGAGCTAATAGCACATATCGCATCAATGGGGTAAATACCTAGGAAACAAGTACGAGTTTACAAAATAGTGCAATCAAGTTAGAGGTGTAAGAGAAAGTGTTTTCGGAAGAGATGAATTTTCATGAGCTTCCTGAAGTTAGAGGGGGACACCCCTGCTCTGATGGCATGTGGTAGCTCGTTCCACCATCGTGGTGTCACAGATGAGAATAGCCGGGACTGGGATTGCTTTGTGTGAAGTGATGACAAAGCCAGGCGGCGTTCATTGGAGGAGAGTAGTGGCCAAGAAGGAACGTAAACTTGTGTTATGGAGTTTAGGTAGATGGGTGCAGACCCAGTAGTCACTCTGTATGCGGCATTAGTGACTTGAATTTCATTCGGGAGGCTATGGGTAGCCAGTGGGGGTCACACAGCAATGGAGTGACATGAGTCCTTTTGGGCTGATCAAAAACCAGATGCGCCGCTGCGTTCTGAACCATTTGTAGGGGTTTCAAGTGTCAACAAGTTAACAGTGGACAAAACAGAATCCTTGTAATTCTACTCGGCCCTGTTAACTGAAGATCAGTCATATGAGATGGTAGAATCAAAAGAGCACTCTAAGCTTTTTAAAAAGTGTTAATATCTAAAAACAAAGAAAAAGAAAACAGGACAGTAAAAGTTACAGTGTAGTGTAAGTTCTTAAATAGTTAATTAAAAGCAATGGTAAGAAGAAAAGTCTTCAGACTTATTTTAAAAGAACTGACAGTTTCTTTTTTCTTTCTTTACTTTGAGCATCTGCATTCATAAGAGGAAAAACTTTAGTTTATAGCTCTACATAAGAATCTGTGCGGCATCCCCAGTAACAGAGCAGCCGACAGGACAGAGCTCATTTAAGTGAACAAACACATTTTCCCATTGCCACGTTTCATTTAAGAACATAAAATCCATATTCTCACTGGTAAAAATATTGTTAAGAATAAAAGTTTTGTTTGAAATGGAACCAGCATTGAGCAAGGCAAACCGGAACAATGATGGAATGCCGGCATCCACAATAGCTGACGGAACTAACCGTAAACAGATGGCACGGTCACATGATCTCTAGTTGCGGTGACCGGTCAATTGCTGATCAGAAGGCACAGTAACCATCGGTAGTGGCAGGTCCGCATTCCCATCAGCATGTCGCTGAGAGGGAAGAGGTACTCCTCCAACAGGTAGAGACATCCAGGGGAGCTTCAGCTGGGGAGCATTTCCACCCGCATCCTGGAGGGAAACTGGCCACAACCAACGAGTTCGTTCTCCACACTGAGGCCAGAGCACCCCCATCCAGGAAAGTCACCGCATCTTGACCTGAGCGCCAGCTCTGCAGCCCCTTCTTCTCAGTCTCTTCTTGGGATTAAATAAATATAAAGTATTTCTGATTCTGATTCTAATTACCAGGGCCCCTGGTCGTAAACAGGAGCCAGTACTTTCCCAGCTATCAAAGAGTCTTTGCATAGACTCTCTGATGTCCAACAATGAGCATCGATCATAAGTCCGGACAGCAGAGACACAATCGTTTGAGATTAGGGCTGATATGACAATACAACATACCAGTACAAGCACTGAAAGTTGACACATATGCGACGCAGCAACGGCCAAGCCAAACACAGGCGCAATCTTGCTTGCTTAAAACATGACATAGAAAAAACCTGGTGGATTCTAAAGGAGAGTTGAATATTGATGAAGCAGTAAATTACTCCATTACAAACATAAAATCCTTCAAAGAAATCCTACAGCTATCGACCACTTTCACTAACATTAACATAAAGTCAGACGAGGATAATTAATAGATCAACAGTTTAACAAAAAGCTTGCTACTGACCTGAGAGTTTCCAGTTTACATTGTGGACTTAACAGTCCAGTAGACAGAGACGTCCCTCCCGAATCTCTCAAGCTGTTGTTTCTGAGGTCGAGTTCTCTCAGACTAGAGGACTGGGAGCTGAGAACTGAGGACAGAGCTTCACAGCTTCTCTCTGAGAGGTTACAGCCACTCAGCCTGAAAAAGGATTAGCAATGGACACAAACTAAATGATTTATTTGTCAAATATAAAATAAAGCATTTTTGAAATTGCACATATATCCACCTACAGAGCTTTGTTGGAAGCTTTGACCACTGGCAACAGCCTCAGAAGAGCCTCCTCTGAAGCAGAGTATTTCCTCAGGTCAAACACGTCCAGATCTTTTTCTGATGACAGTAAGATGAAGCCCAGAGCTGACCACTGAGCAGGAGAGAGTTTATCTGTGGAGAGACTTCCTGAACTCAGGGACTGTTGGATCTCCTCCACTAGAGAACGATCATTCAGTTCATTCAGACAGTGGAACAGATTGATGCTTCTCTCTGGAGACAGATCCTCACTGATCTTCTTCTTGATGTACTCAACTGTTTTCTGATTGGTCTGTGAGCTACTTCCTGTCTGTGTCAGCAGACCTCGTAGGAGAGTCTGATTGGTTTGCAGTGAAAGACCCAGGAGGAAGCGGAGGAACAAGTCCAGGTGTCCATTTGGACTCTGTAAGGCCTTGTCAACAGCACTCTGGTAGAGATGTGTTAGTTTAGGTTTGTCTCTGAAGACTTTAGACCGCCGGGAGGTTGTTTGTTCTTCTGCCAGCAGATTGACACCAGAGTTGATGAAGGTCAGATGGACATGAAGAGCAGCCAGAAACTCCTGAACGCTCAGATGGACGAAGCAGAACACCTTGTCCTGGTACAGCCCTCTCTCCTCTTTAAAGATCTGTGTGAACACTCCTGAGTACACTGAGGCTGCTCTGATATCGATGCCACACTCTGTCAGGTCTGATTCATAGAAGATCAGATTGCCTTTCTGTAGCTGCACAAAAGCCAGTTTTCCCAGAGGCTCAATCATCTTCCTGCTCTTTTTATTCCAGTGTGGATCTGTCTCAGCTCCTCCATCATACTTGATGTTCTTCAGTTTGGACTGAACCACCAGGAAGTGGATGTACATCTCAGTCAGGGTCTTGGGCAGCTCTCCTCCCTCTCTGGTCTCCAACACCTCCTCCAGAACTGTAGCAGTGATCCAGCAGAAGACTGGGATGTGGCACATGATGTGGAGGCTTCGTGATGTCTTGATGTGGGAGATGATTCTGCTGGCCTGCTCCTCATCTCTGAATCTCTTCCTGAAGTACTCCTCCTTCTGTGGAGCAGTGAACCCTCTGACCTCTGTCACCATGTCAACACACTCAGGAGGGATCTGATTGGCTGCTGCAGGTCGTGTGGTTATCCAGAGGCGAGCAGAGGGAAGCAGGTTCCCCCTGATGAGGTTTGTCAGCAGCACATCCACTGAGGTGGACTCTGTAACATCAGTCAGGACCTCATTGTTGTGGAAGTCCAGAGGAAGTCGACACTCATCCAGACCGTCAAAGATGAACACAACCTGGAACTCTTCAAAGCTGCAGATTCCTGCTGCTTTGGTTTCAGGAAAGAAGTGATGAACAAGTTCCACCAAGCTGTACTTTTTCTCTTTCAGCACATTCAGCTCTCTGAAAGTGAATGGAAATGTGAACTGTATGTCCTGGTTGGCTTTGTCTTCAGCCCAGTCCAGAGTGAACTTCTGTGTTAAGACTGTTTTCCCAATGCCAGCCACTCCCTTTGTCATCACTGTTCTGATTGGTTCGTCTCTTCCAGGTGAGGCTTTAAAGATGTCTTCTTGTCTGATGGTTGTTTCTGGTCTGTCTGGTTTCCTGGATGCTGTTTCAATCTGTCTGACCTCATGTTCATCATTGACCTCTGCAGTCCCTCCCTCTGTGATGTAGAGCTCTGTGTAGATCTGGTTCAGAAGGGTTGGGTTTCCTGCTTTAGCAATCCCCTCAAACACACACTGGAACTTCTTCTTCAGGTTAGACTTGAGTTTACGTCGGCACACTGGAGCAGCAGTTCCTGAATGAAGAAAGAAGAAATGTGATAAATAAGTGGATGCTACGGTAAATCTGATAAATGTAAACTTTAAGACATCAAGATGGTATTTATTTTCCTCCTCCATGAAATCACTTCAGCTCATCAGCTGTGAACAGTTTCTGAGTTTCAGCCCAGAAGAATTCATAGATCTGATCCAAATGTGTGCATCATATTAACAGCAGAGTTTGAAATGGAAAATTCTCCCATGTTGCCTCCATTTCCTCTTTCCATCATGTTCAATCTGTTCAAATCCTCTTACTGCTCTGCAGACGCTCAGCCAGCTCCTCCTGCTTCATTCTCCTCAGGAAGTGCAGTGTGATCTTCAGAAATGCCTCTCTGCTGCTCCTCCTCTGCTCCTCCTCCTCACCGTCCAACACCTCCTCATCCTCCCTCTGACTCTCTAAGCATTCTGGGTAATCTGGACTCAGAACCCTCTGGAACTTCTTCACCTCGTTCTTCACAAACCTGCCAATGTTTTCCTGGAGCAGCTGGAACAGAAGAAAATGTAAAGTTGAACTGGTAGAAGTCAACATCAGATCATCTGTGACAGACAGAAAGCCTGCTGGTCTGCAGAGTGCAGCATGGAGACTGGATCAGAATGCTGCTTCACTATTTACTTTGTGGCTGTTGTAATTAGCAGTAGTAGCTGAGCTTGTACATTTACACACCATAAATATGGAGTCCAGGTCTGTTTGATGCTGCTGGGCAGACTGACCACTGGGAACCTCTGAGCTCTGCTGATCAACTCTGTGAAGAAATATGATTTGAACATATAATGACTGTAGGGCATCAGCAGCCTCTCTTGCCCTGGTAAAAAACCATGAACCCTTCCCAGTGTCTGTCTGTCCTAAATGTGACTACCCCTATATGTAGATTCACATGCCCATGATGCTCAGCACCTTCCAAATAAAAGCCCAACAAAGTACTCAAATTAACTCAAATAACAATGTAACTGTCCACTTGGAGTCATTTAAAGTGTATTGATTTTAATGATTGTGAGTATATTTTGTATTTGTAAAAGACGTTTTTTTATTAGGATTATGGTTTAGTCATGGGCAGATCACTCCACGCAGGTACCAGTGTCGTCCACCAGTGGGCAGTATAGTTTCTGCTACTAGACTAAACTAACCCCAGTATAACTGTGGATAAACCACAAACGAAAGCAGAGCAAGCAGACTCGAAGCACACTGTAGAGACGGCAACTTATTGAAAATAGTAACAAAGGAAACTTCCAGTCCTAAGTTTAATGCCCTTGGGAAGCGGAACAAGGTGTGTATTGTTGTCTATGTGCGGGTGCTGCGGGAGTGAAGTGTTCATGTTTATTGTTGAAAGTTGTTTAGCTATGTATTGACAAAGGGCCATTTAGCTTTGATGTATTAATGTAGTGTGTGATTTAAAGGTTATTGTGTAGTATATAGGTATTGGTATAGAGTGACTGTCGTTTAATTTGTGTATTTAATTAGGTTTATTGTTGTAGCATGTTTGATTTTAGCTAAGGTAATATGTGTATAAAAGTACTTATGTTTATATCTGATTGTATATCTTTATATTTTTCACGGTGAACTATGGTATTTGGATACGGAGGAAAAGAAAGAAATAAAGAAACCATAAAGACATTAGTTGAGACTCTCTGCATTATACAGTACTTTAAACACAGAGGGCAGTTACAAATAACATAAATCTTCTACATCCATGTCAATAAAATAATCAAGCTGATTACTTAAGGCGAAAACAGCTATAAAATTAAGTAATTAGTTATTAAATTAAATTACAAAACAAGGGAGTAGCTCTGACAATGACAGTAATAAATGTGCTGTAGTGGATCCTGACAGAAACACAACAGTGATAAATGCGCAGGTTCACTGAAATTCCTCTAGGATAAAATGCTGCGTCTCAGTGTGGACATCAGTGGACTGAGAGGCTGATGAGGACCTACTACTGGAAAGTATGAGCAAATAAAAAGGCACGCTCATACTTTACTTTAATATTAGTTCTTGTGTTTGACATTTGTTCTTTGAACCTGTGTTTTGTTTCTGTGCTGCTGATGTGACATAAGAATTAAAATTTTTCTATTTTTTCTAAAAGTTTCTATATTTATTTTTAATTAACAAAGAACGGTGCTGGACCAAGACCTACCTGAGAGCTCTTTTTAGAAGAGTCAACAAAACAACACAAACATATAAGATTCTTACTTTTGTTCAGCACGGTTATGTCCAGCTTTGAATTCAATGGGGAAACTTTTAGACTGATCGCTCTTCATGGACACACAGCTGGGTTCATGAAAGTCTGGTCTCTGCCGATGGATCCTGGTATGAACAATGAAATGAATCAAGTGTGTCCTTAAGTGTTAATCCTTAAGATTGTCTGATGTGTTAAGTGACACCTTTGACCTGTTGTCACATCAAGTGTGTTTGGAGAAACCTTCAGTAAGAAAAGCTCCAACCAAACCTCACCATGGCTAACTATTTGATTTGATTTATTTTCACAACAAAAACATTAAAACAGTGTTATATATTTCACAAAAAGATGTGATGGACAATTGCCGAAAAAACACTCAAGGGGCTTAATAACTGGCAATCTCCATAGAAACAAATCTATTTAACAATTTAAAAACATTTATATATTATTATATAAAAAAAATTCTTTGTATAAAACAATTTAAAATTGCATTCAGAGCACAAACACATATGGCAATTTCAGACAACGTAGGAGCAACAATTTTACTCTCTGTTTAAACTGTTCTTTATAAACCTCAATGAGTGATGTGGGAAGACTATTCCATATTTTCCTCTATATATCATATTATCTCATATTATCCTCTGTATAATACACTAAACCGTGTTTGAGTCGTACAACTACGAGTCGGATACAGGTGAAATTCAAATTGAAATTCAAATTCATTATTAAAATTAAAAATATTACAAAAATGCTGGGGAAGTAACTTTTTTATAGAGCTATAAACGAATAAAGCTATTTGAAGTTGATTCACTTGGTAAACACTAAGAAAACTTGCCTGAGCAAACAGTGATTAGGAGGGGTGTCTACGATTTACACAAAATATTATTCTTAAAGCTCGCTTCTGAAGTTGGAAAATAGATTCCAGTTTAGTTGGGTGGGGGCTAGCCCAAGCAACATCACAGTAATTAATATATGGGTACAACATTGAATAATACAACATAATTGCAACTTTTTTGTTAATCAGGCCGGGTTTTTCCTAGTATACCAACCACTTTGGTTATTTTTGTACTAATGGCACTAATGTGAGGTTTCCAGGATAAAGAATCATCTAGTATAACACCGAGGAAACGAGCAGATCTAACATTGTTAATGGAAATATTATCAATTTGAATTTTCATTGAAGATTTAAATGTATCCGACTTAATACCGAAAAATATATAACTTGTTTTTTTATGTTGAGTGACAATTTGTTGGACTTGAACCAAGTAGATAACTTGTGAAGTTCTTCATCAACTACCTTTATTAAAATTTCAGGGTTTTTATGGGAGTAAAACACACTTATATCTTATGTCGTTAATAAGATTTTAGAAAGTTTATCTGAAACATTGGGGAGGTCGTTAACATATAATAAAAATAGGGGACCAAAGATGGAACCCTGTGGTAAGCTGCACTGAAGGGGAAGGGGAGGGGATTCTGTCCCATTATAGTTGACAGTTTCATACTGTCTGAAAGATAACTGGTGAACCAGAGTGACCAGAGTAACAAAATTAAATGGTTAACGGTATCAAATGCTTTTGAAAGATCCAGTTCCCCTTCGAGGGAACTCGAACTGCGTCGGTGACGACACTATGGGAACACCTCTGGACGTGGCAGGGCTGAAATCATGAATGAAACTACTCCAATCCTATTGCCGTTGATAGAACTGTAGCGTGTGATGGCGTAACTGGAGGCGTATATAAGCACGCAGGGACACCAGACACATTAGCTTTTTTCTATTCAGCAGGCACTCTGGCATGTTTGAGACTACTCAGAAGAAAGCTACCACTAGACGAAATTACCTGGAAGGAGAAGCAGAAGAGATGGCTGCTGAGCAGTTCAGGCAGTGGATAGACGTGCGTAGCATCATGGAGGATGACTTCCGGGAGCCAGGCCGACGTCATCAGACCGCGCCCAGCTATGAGAGGCGGGGCAGGAACCGCGGGCCGGCAGTAACCTCTATGAGCTTTTCTGCAGCCCGAGCGCCACAACCGCGTTCTTTCCTGATTTGCACAATGAGTTGTGTAAATCAGCACGCGTCGGGTCCATTTTGTCCTCGGTGACCAGAGTGAAGCTAGGCCGCACCATCACTGTGAAACACTTTCAGAGGGTGTTGGGTCTCATGGCGGCAGCGTCCAGCGTAATCCCGTCTGACCTGCTGTAGATGAGAGCCCTGCAGTGGTGGCTAAAATCCAAGGGATTCTCCCCGAGGGGAAATTCGTTCCGTCTGATACGGGTTACGAGCAGGTGCCTTCGTTCCCTGTCAGTATGGAGGAAGCCTTGGTTCTTGTCCCAGGGTCCCGTGTTGGGAGCGTCATGTTGCCGGACAATTATTTCGACAGACGCCTCACTCGCGGGGTGGGGCGCCGTCATGGACGGCCGCTTTGCGAGAGGCTCCTGGCAGGAGCATCATTTCTCTTGGCACATAAATTGCCTGGAAATGTTGCCGGTTTTCGGAGCTCTGAGGAGTTTTCTGCCCGCTCTCCGCGGTCGCCACGTCCTTGTCAGGACCGACAACACGGCGGTGGTGGCCTGTTTGAATCATCAGGGGGGTCTGCGCTCGCGCCCATTATGCAAACTGGCACATCAGATCCTCCTGTGGTCCGAGCAGGGACTGCTGACCCTCAAAGCGACATACGTCCCTGGGAACCAGAATCAGGGAGCAGACATGCTGTCGAGACAGGGGCTGAGGCCTGGGGAATGGAGACTCCGCCCCCAGGTGGTGGAGTTATTATGCGAAAGGTTCGGCCCCATAGGTGTGGACTTGTTTGCGTCTCGAGGGACTACGCACTGTCCCCTGTGGTTCTCCCTCTCGCCCCCAGCCCCGCTAGGGCTGGATGCCATGGTGCAGACGTGGCCGAGGCTGCGCCTGTATGCTTTTCCCCCAGTCGCTCTGCTCCCGGGGGTTCTGGAGCGGGTCCGTCAGGATGGTGTCAGTCTACTGTTGGTAGCCCCGTTTTGGCTGGCTCGAGTGTGGTTCTTGGACATAATATCGCTCCTCGAGGGCCCGCCATGGCAGGTCCCCCTGAGGAGGGACCTGCTGTCTCAGGCGGAGGACCAGGTCTTTCACCCTTGCCCCGCCCTGTGGAAACTGTGGGTCTGGCCCCTGAGGGGGCCCAGTTCCTGGAGGCGGGCCTGATGGCGGGGACAGTCGAGATGCTGCTCAGCTCCAGAGCCCCGTCCACGAGAAGGACGTACGGCCTGAAGTGGAATGTGTTTGCCACCTTGTGTAGAGAACGGGCGGTGGACCCAGTTACCTGCCCGGTGACTATGGTACTGGAGTTCCTCCAGGACCGTTTCTCTGCTGGCTTTTCCCCATCCACACTCAAGGTGTATGTGGCTGCCGTGGTGGCGTTCCACACCCCTCTGAGGGATGGGCCTCTGAGGAGGCTTCCACTGGTCATGCGCTTCCTCCGTGGAGCCCGGAGGATGAGAGCCGTGACTCGTTCCAGGGTTCCCACTTGGGACCTGGCGGTGGTTCTCGAAGCGCTGGCCGAGGCCCCCTTCAAACCCCTGGAGTCGGCTGAGGCCAA